CGGGGCGTCCGCAAGCGACGTCGAGGCAGCCGCCAAGGCGGAGGAGCGTGGGCTCGTCATGCTGTTGCCAAAGGGAATGAATTTGTGTGAAAATGGGGTCTTTCTCTGGGTGCGCGGTTGGGACGAGGCGCGATCGCGCCATCGGTACGTTGGTAAGCGCCCTTCTTTCGAGAGTGCAGCGCGTAGTCCGCGTTCAGGGGTTCATGGTGGCACGCGACAAGGGATAGGGTGGCGCGTGTTGCTCGCCCGTGCGGCATGTGCCGAATTTAATTTGGACCAATCAAGAGCGGGGTAATTTGAAAATTGAATTTGGCAAGATGACCGAGCGACCGGTCAAGGTCGTCGTCCGCATGCGGTCGCCGCCGACGGAGCTGTCTCGGGGCGCGCCGCGGAGCATGGAGGTACAGCGGGACCTAGGCCGTCGGCAGGCCACGAGTGTCAAGATCGGCGACGAGCGCATGGAGTTTGACCAGTGCTACGACGAGACAGCAACGCAGCACGAGCTCTTCCGGCGCGAGATGGCCGCCGCGATCCCGCTCGCCTTTGACGGCAAGAGCACGACGCTCATCGCGTACGGTCCAAGCAAGAGCGGCAAGACGTTTACAGTTGACGGATCGACGACGAGCGCGGGCCTCGTACCCCGCACGATGCAGCGCTTGCTCCAGTTCCAGCACGCATCAGCGCCCCTGCATACGATCCAGCTGAGCGTCCTCGAGATCCACCGCAACAAAGTCTTCGATCTTCTCGATTCGAATAGCGATCGAACCGACCTCCCGATCCGGCAGTCGGCGACAGGCAGCGTTGTCGTTCCCGGTCTCGCCCGGCTGCCGATCACGACGCTCGCGCATTTTACTAGGCTCTACGAACAGGCGAGTCGCGCCCAAAGCCGTCAAAGCCACAAAGTCGTCACGTTCTCGGTGCAAACGACCGGCGTCGACGGCGAACCGAAGTCCGGGACCATCCATCTCGTGGACTTGGCCCGCGTCGACGAGTCGCGTCGACGGAGCCTGCAGCCTCGGTCCAGCGACAGCAGCAGCAACGCGATGACGTTCTTCGTCCTCGGCAAAGTTCTCAGTGCGATCAACGAAGGCAAGTCGCTAGCGCACATGCCGTTCCGCGATAGCAAGCTCACGCGCCTTTTGCACGACGGACTCTGCCGCGATGTGCATGCAGCGACGCTGATCTGCACCGTCTCGACGGCCAACGTCGACGACGCCTTGCACGCACTGCAATACGCAGCCAAGGTCCGTCTCCCAACGACGTACCGAAGCCCGATGCGAATGGCGTCCGAGACGTCGCCACCCCCCGAACTGACGCCAACGCTTAGCTCCCTCGAAGAGCGCCTGGAAGCGTGGCGTCAGAGTTAACACACAAAGACGCCCGAGACGACAAAGCGTCCGCGGGCAGTAAGCCTTGCATCGGACGAGCCAGTGAAAAAGCCAAAGCTCGAGTCGCCACCCAAAACGCCGGTTGCTCTCAAGGCGGCGCCAACGGGCACACCCAAGACACCGAGCCGGATTCCGATGCGCCGGGAGAGCATTGTTCCGCTAACGACCACGCGCAAGCCGCTGAGGTAAGCGACATGGCCCCTCGGACCGTAGTTTGACACTGCATAGCAACCTCACCAACCTCCCACCGACCATCACGCCGACCAAGGATGCGTACCAGACCCCCGAGAAGAGCACCAAGCCAAGGTACAAACAAGATCTGATATTAAACCTTGGCTAAGGAGGTTGTAGTGCTGTTGATACCATTCGCAAGCTTTTGCACTTGGCCATGGCGTTTGAGAAGCGCGATCGGCTGGCCGCGGCCCTCGCCGTGTACAACTGCACGAATCGCCTTCTTCCAGCAACCAGCACCAAGCTCAAAGCGCGTATTCACCGCCTCACAACCGAGCTGATGAGTGCGCGTCACTTG